GATCATGGATAAGACAGTGGATAAGACAGTGGATAAGACAGTGGATAAGACAGTGGATAAGACAGTGGATAAGACAGTGGATAAGACAGTGGATATAAGATAGTGGAAAATAAGACAATGGATAATAAGACAGAGGATCATAACATAGTGGACGGATAAGACACACTTCTAGAAGCAGGCCTCGTCCTTATGAACTACTCTTCTCAAAGATGAATGAAAGACAGTGGATACGACAGTAGAACCTGTGTCTACCCCCTCATATTGCCGTAGAACCTATGTCTACCTCCTCCTGTTCTCAGCCTGCTCCTGTGGCTCCCACTCGTCATGCAACTTTTTCCTTCAACAGGTGACAGTTGATAATAAGACAGTGGATGATAAGACAGAGGATCATACGACAGTGGATAAGACAATCTTTCCTTTCCTGGCAGCCCATATGCAAGGAATATGAGTGAGAGCGATAGACAGACTCCAAGTTGCAAAATCATGAGGTAGCGCAGATAGTCATGTACCAAGCAGAGAGCACAATGCACCAAGATAAACTCCAAGTAAGAGCAATACAATGAGCTCAAATGTCAATGCCGACGATCTCTGGCCACACCAACATAGTATCCAATGTCGCTCCTACTGTCTGGCGCCCAGCGCCCAGCCTACTCTACTCAGCCTACCTAGCCTATCTATGGCCATGCAACAGGAACACATTGAAGTTGAAGACCAATGTACGTGATGTCACCACCAATGCAGCCCGCTAGCATACACCAGGTACGTTCTCTCTCCTCCCCTTATCACACCCTGTCCTCCTCTGCATGCGCCTCCTACCCAAAGACCAACATCGCCATCACCATGCACGTGCCCAGCAGCCCATCTGTGACCGCCGTGCGCCCGCTGCCACCGCAGCGCCCCTCTCACCTCTCAGCGCTCGCGTGCGACCCAGCCTGTCGGCGCTAAACAGCACTCGCGCGACAAAACAGCAGTGTGGTGCCAATGCCTCGGCAGGCCAGAATGCCCTCCCCCTGGGCACTCACTTTCCTACATGGAAAGTGTGCCCTGCCGTCGGGGGGGGGGCGCAGTAGCTTCAGGTTGGCCCCAAGTGTCTGCGCCCAGGCCCAGTTTCAGATACTGGCCTGGGCCTTGTGCAGTTAGGCACGTCCAGGTAGGCCTTCCAGGCTCCAAGTGTTTGCCACATCCTCATTGGCTTGCGGAAGATGTGTGACGACAATGCTGCATTCTCATTGGTCCGCGGCCTCTGAGTGATGTGTTGCCCTCTCACTGCGTGTGCCCAGGGCCTCAACCGAATGAGCCCTGGGCTCAACTGTACAATGCAGCTACTGCTTCTGGAATGAGCCAGGGAAGGCTCACGTTGTTCTGTAACTGCAACTGTCTGATTGGGCTGACCATTTGAGTCACCGTATGAACTGCTCATTTGTACAATCAATATGTCAAATAAATGAGACAGAAGTCCACAATGAGACGGACTCGACTTATTCAACGCCGTTGAAGATACTCGTAGTGAAGAACTCATTGCAAAGACTCAAGCTCGTCGTGAAACGGGATCACTCTGAATAGCCAGCCGTTGGTTGAACCCCGACCGTGTCTCTGATACGCAGCTGAACGGAATACTCGTGAACGTGAGATGCCACGTACGAGAAGTGTCGAAAATTGGCCTCTTGTGGTTGTACAGGCCCGCCTTCACTTAGGGGGGGCACGAGGCTTGCTGGGGGCCGCAGCCCAGAATGCTTGTATGCCCCAGAAGGGCTCCGCGAGGGCTCAATCCTCGCACATGGTCTCTCTTGCTGATCAACGAATGTTAATTCCTAACCCTAGTAGTTCACAAAGTTAGAAGTTAGGCTGTGATGTGTGCATGCACGTGGTTCATGCAGCCGGCCAGGAGATGTTGCAATCATTTGTGTAACGGATGGCGGTGATCTCTTTCAAAGAAACAACTCTGTTCTCTGTTGTACCATGGTCTTCAATCTGACAGATTGTAAGTGGCGCATGCAACCTGCTACCAGAATGTCGGAGTCATTCATATGGTGACTCGGCATTAATACCGCATCATCTCGTTCAGTCCGAGAATGCTGTACCTCTTGCACCTGCACCATTCACCTGACGGACAGGTTATGAGGAGAGAGTCTTCTTCTTCTTCTCTACCCCTCCATATCCGCCTCCTGTGTCCTACTTCTGGTGAGAGAGAAAAGAGAGAGGGAGAGACCTGAGACTGGCGACTATTTCAAGGA